ATATTCGTGAGCTATAGGCACCAGTTAAGTATATGACGACGGGATGAGGTCGAGTGTCGATATCTTAGCAACTTAACAATAAAATATGTACAGTAAGACCTCGTTTAGCGCTTTAGATACGTTCCTAAAGACAGAACACTAAACGAAACAGCGTTAAAAGAGGACATATTAATAGATATATCAAATAGAGAAACGGAAACACGGAAAATAAACAAATGTTACTTCAAATCTAAGTTGTATTTATAGTAATTTGCATTATAATATATGTTTTATATAACAGAAACATTTACACCCAGAAATATTAAGTTTATTTTTGTGATGAAGATCCTGGCTCTTCTAGTATTGTTGATTTTTTTACGATAAAATAAGACATTTTTCGCTTTTTTTTTTCATTAAGCAAATGTTGTCAAAATTTGGATAATTCGCTACAATTTAATCAATTATTTCGGTTATCATTTCTATACTATTTCTAATTTGTAGTAAGTTGTTTTGGTTCATCATCTTCAGAATCACTATTTTCGCGTTCTTCAATTCCTAGTTCTGCCAGTTCTTAATGATCGTAGTTGGTTAGGCCCTCACCAGAAACCTACAGTAACTTTTTAATATCCTGCTCATCTACATCTCAAACAAGTATAGATTCTAGGGAAGTTCAGGATTAATCCTATCAGATGTCCTGTTTTTATGCTGTTCTCTTTTAGTACTAACCTGTTTTCACTCTATGTTTTTTTTTTCGCTGTTTTAGTACTATTCTATTTTTTCGCTATTTTGTTTTGTCGTGTTCTTCTTGTATAACGTTCTGTTTTATTCATATCCTGATATGTCGTCTTCTGTCCTGGTGAGTTCTGTTAGGTCTGGTCACCTTAGTTACAGCTACACAGGAGTGCGCAAGTGGATCTAGGTGTGCCGCGAAAATTTTAAAATATAATTAATTTAATTGTTTTCTAATTAAGTCCGAAGCATACTAAGTGCATAATTGTATAGCGGAATTTCAAATATAGGTTCAAGTGAGTCTTGGGATAAAATGGAAGAAAAATCTTGCAGTAGAATCTTGATTCACGAATAATGTGAATAAATCCAACGCGAGAAATACCCATATAAGGATTTGTTTCGCGCTCGCAACTGCATCTGACTAGTCGTGAAAAATCGCGACTATTTGCATTTTCGTAATAAGATGAGTCGCGACGTGGATTAGGCATGTTTCAAGATTATTTGATAATTGTTTAAACGTTTTAAAACCGCTGTTATTCAAAGTGACGTACAGAGGAGTTACGTTTTTGTAACAATCTAAAGGTAATTTTTCAATAATCAGACAAACTTTTATAAGCATTTAGAATAGCAAGTACATTAAATTATTTAATTCATAATTTGAATACTTACTTACGTAACTTACTAAGTAGATCACTTATATAACATATACTATAATAAAAATCTTATATGAAAAAAATATAAACATAATTTTTAACTACTCAATTACTAATAAATGGAAAAAACTTGTATTTACGTAAAATTAGGTGATTATTTTCGGTGGCAATCTCAAGCCCGACAACCGAAATCCCGTCTATCGAAATCCCGATGTTCGAAATTCCGAGTGCATCGAAATCCCGACGTTCGAAATCCCGGCTACCATAATCCCGACAATCAAAATCCAGACTATATTGAAATCCCGACAGTGTCTTTTATTATTATAAATTTCTACAATAATATTTTTATGGTAGTCGTGATTTCGATATAGTCGGGATTTTAATTATCGGGATTTTAACATAGTCGGGATTTCAAGCGTCGGGATTTTAATACAGCCGGGATTTCAAACATCGGGATTTCAATAGACGGTCTTTAGGTTGTCGGGATTTCAATAGACGGTCTTTAGGTTGTCGGGCTTGCGATATAGACCCGATTATTTTCAGAATCGTCACGAAGACTCAGGTTCATCCGCAGTAGCAATAGCGAATCTGAAATGTTAAGACAGGCGCATCCACCATTTTTATATATACAGTAGAACCTCGCTTAACGAGCACCTCGCATAACGAATTGTAAGAAAAATGACTCGATCAAAAACCGACGTTTCGCATAACGAGTGACGATGAGAAGAAAAGTCCCGGATTGCGCGCCTGCGAGGTTCCAATGTATTAAAAAAAATTCTTTATAATATTTTAATTAATTTGAAAACTTTAATTTTTAAATCATATTTCTGTTTTCAAATTTCATCAAATATTTTACAACTATTCCAATATAAATAAAGTTGCTTTGATCATTGTGAACTTTATTTCGATGCTAAGCAAATGTAATTAAACTAATTTATATGTAATTTAGAATTTTCCATGCATAACTAAATGAACAATGTTAATTTGATTGCAAAAAAACAACAAGACATGTATTTCGGTTTATTCAATAGGATGAATTTGTTTTGAGCGTACGTCTAATTGAAGATTACTAATTATTACCGTTTCTATTAATATCGTCATTAAAGAATGCAATATGTAACATCAATAATGCATTTACACGATGATATTCGAATGTCTGTAATTAATTACGTTCTCTCCAATATGGAAACCGTGTTTAATGCACATGTATGATTAAATAGTCGATCTTTATTTACGAGAGTCAAGTGTAATTAAAAACTCGCACTAAAAACATTTTTCTTTTAATATGCATATAAAAAAGTGTGCCTTTAATTTAACAAAAAAAAATGTGAAGAGTATAGTAAAAAAATCTAATATTACAGCAATACCTCGCATAGTGCGGTTTCAATTAGTCCAAATTCATTAAAGTCCGGTTTGAAAATTTTAAAAGAAACTAAATTTTAGCTGAGTAAAATAAATTGGCATGTATTTTTGTATGTATTTAGTTCCTCGATTAGTCCGGTTTCAAACATTACTGTATTTTATTTTTATTAGGATTCATTATTTGCTCATCTCTTGTCAATTGTCAACAAACTTTAATGTTATATTTTTGTATCATGCCACAAACAGGCTTTAGTATATGAATTAGATAAGTTCATGATCCGGTTTAGAGAAATATCTGCTTTCGGACTTTAATTAAATCTTAGCAGCGGGACATCTTTTAATCGCATTTTCTTAAACGCAATTTAAGCTCAGATCCTCTAATCCGCCATTATTCCCCAAGTTAAAACCAAGGGTTGACATTTTAATTTTAAATTTGAGTTATAGCTTAAATAAAATTACAAATTTTAATCGGTTTAATTAGACAATAGCAAATTTATATCAACATAATTAGGTTTTACAATTACATAAATATTCAGTAACAAATAAGCACAATTAAAAAAAAAATATATATTTCCTTGTAAATTATTTTTATTGTGTAAAGTTTATTTAAATAAACTGTTTATATTAAGGATTATAAATAATTAGTGCAGGTGAAGAATTCTTCAAGTAAAATTAGGAAAGGACAGGAGAAATTTATAAATGTATAAATATTTTGTTTATATACTAGAATTTTAAAGGATAATTAAACCTATAATTTATATTCTTTCGGTGGCAATCGCAAGCCCGAGAACCGAAACCGTCAAACAAATTCCCGACGTCCGAAATCCCGACTGTACCGAAATCCCGACAAACTTAATCCGGACTATATCAAAATCCCAATTATATTAAAATACCGACAACCATAATCCCGACTGTATCAAAATCCCGACTATATCTAAAATGTATACAATAACATTTTTAAATTATTCCGGAGCGTAGTGACTTTTAAATTGTTATTAATAATAAATAATAACAATTAATAATCTAATTGTATTAGAGATAATTTCATAATATTAAGGTTTATTGTGAATAATTCAACAAAATCAAATAAATTAATAATAATTTATTGTTATTAATAATAAAAGTATAACAACACAAGGTGACTACGCTCCGAAATAATTTAAAAATGTTATTGTAAAAATTTTCGATATTGTCGGGATTTTGATACAGTCGGGATTTCAAACGTCGGGAATTTGATTGACGGTATTTCGGTTGTCGGGCTTGCGATATATACCCATACCATCCCAGCGCATCCACATTTTATATCATGAAATATATAATATTTTAACAATCACTTTAAATTTAAAAATTCTCCATTATTTCAAGTTCTTATTTAATTTTAATAAACTAAAAACATTATTATATGACTAGAAGAATTCTTCGGAAATAGAAATTTCGATTTAAAATTCCAAGTTCAAAAAAAAAATTGCCATATGAAAATTTTAAACATGACAACTTTGTACTTTTAGTCTAAAACAATATACACTTTTATTTTCAATTAAATGCATATTTATCTGAATGAAAATATTATTTTTTAGTATAAACTTTTATCATTAAACATTTTTGTTTCGTTCAAACAAAGTTAAAGTTTTTGAATTTGTTCAAACTTTCTTAAACTGTGAATGGCTCCAGAAAATTTTAATCAAAATTTACAAATTTTAGCTTATTATAATTTTATGCAGTTTATATTGATCCGTGTGTTTATATAACTATTTTATTATATAATATGAGTATTATATTCAGCTGTGACAAGAATACATATATAATCATGGAGATAATTTCCCTAACGGCAATATCTATATTTAGTAACATACATTTTTTTAAGTTGATACACGTTGGCAGTTTACAATTATAGTTGGCAGGTTCACCATGATACAAATGTATGAATAATAAAACAGCTCAGTATCATAAGTTTCATTATCGCCATGATATATAATGATTACAACTACATTTGCATTGTGAATTAAGTTTGTAGTGGCTAGTGTTATGTGCAATTATTTGAACGGGATTTGAAGCTAATGTGTTATTAACTATGATTCATTGGAGAGTAGCATTAGCGGTATTGTCAATAACCACGAAATCAATATGTAATATTACTGTTTGTAATTGTATGCAAAATGTATTTATGTTTTACCATATTTAAAACCATATTATATGATTTTAAATAAATTTTAAATACAATCAAATAAAGATGATTATTGTGTATATTTGTATATTAAGTTACATATCGTTTTGCAGGATGTCCAGGACAGGATGTTTCCGATCATAATGATATCGGTGATGACGGTGACGCTGGTGATGGTGCTGCTGGCGTCGCAGTTTCCGATTGTGATGGAATCGGAAGCTTGGGCTCTGATCGCCTCGATCCTCGTGACCGGAATCGTCGCCACTTCGACGCTGCTGCTGGCCGGAAGACACGCGCCGCTTCCGCTCTTCGCCCTGCTCCTCGCGCTGCACACCATGCTTCCGGTTTCCCGACTTGTTGCTATAGCCATGGCATTCCTCGTCACCGTCGCCCACTTAACAACTTCCATAGCCTACAGATACACCTCTGATGTTCACTCTTTCTACATGCAGGTATATAATCTCATCCGTTGCACCATCAGCAGAATCCGGTCTCTGATGTCTATCTGTAATTGGATTTCAGCTAATCTCAGAAGTTGTGCTGCTCGCGGCGGCCAGTGGGACGGGACTCTATTATCGTTACATGACCGAAGGGGCTCATCGTCGGACCTTTGTCGGCACAAGGACTTGCATCGAGTCAAGGGTGAAATTAGAGTGCGAAAAGGAGCAGCAGGAGCAACTCCTTCTCAGCGTTATTCCAGCTTACATCGCAGCAGAGGTAAATCACAAACTAATTACAACACACTTGCTTCTAATTACACTACATTTAACCAATATTGTTAATAAATTGAATATCTACATCTCTTGTTTAACATCAAAGGCATGATTATCCATTGAATTGCTATACCCAATTACTTTCCAATACACAGTTGGGCTTTCCATTTATTAGATTACACTTATATTATCATATTCTACAATAGAAGAACAACAAGTATTGATTACATTGGACAATAAATATGTTTTTATAAATTGTATACAGAGAAAACCGACAAAAAACATATATTTATTTGCTGTAAAACTGTAACAGTTGACAAGTCTAATCACGTCAAATGCACGAGAATTTGTATGTATTTTTAATAGAGTGTATAAGAAATCACTTAGTTAGTTGATAATCCCTAAGATCAACACTTGCATAGTTGACTTAATAAAACTAATTAAGAATATTGCATAAACCTCTCTAAAACTCCACACCGACCCACCTACAAGATAATCCCGGGACACAAGACTAATAATCTAATCATCTCTCAAAGTAACCAAATTACAGACAAATTTACAAAAAAAGAGAACTTGTAGATAGTAAATAATTTTATCTTGAAGTTTTTGATCTAGTAAAAGAAGAAAATATACAAATGTCATTACTTGTACATACTTATCTATATATTTGGTTTTATACGTAATTGACTATAGAATTATCTAAATCCTTGTAATAGAGTTGTGAAAGAACAAAATCCCGATGATCCACTATCATTGATAATGTTCAAAATTCTGAGCTTTAGCTTTAAATGAATTTATTTCACCTTTCATGTGGCGCTCCTATATAATGCAAAAAATCTAATGGAAACGGAGAATGAGAGAAGTGATTAATAACTGTGCTCTATCTTTCTGGCAAGAACGTATTGTCGCGAAAAAAAAACATCTAAAGTCGCTAAATCCACTCCACTCCTTTTTTTCACTTGAAAATAAATTACTTTTTTCTGCGTAATCTAAAATCGAGGGTAACATTTTTTAGGTTTATGTCATATTATTTTTGTTCTAGCCGATAAATCATGAATTATTTCTTCATTATCATTAAAAATTAATATGAATTAACAATTAACAATTTTATTTTAATTGTAGTTCTGTAATTCTTTGAATTTGTAAAATTTCATTCTTTATATACAGTTCTAAATTTAATTAAAAGTTAAAAATGTGTCGCTGTTAAAATGAAACATGCAAAAAAAAACATTACAAGTTTCCATCTGTTTGCTATTTCATTTCTTCAATTTCGTATTACAATAATGTGTGCTTCGACGCGACGTGAGGCTTTTAATTAAAGTGCGAATTGGAATGAAAACAAAAATATTAATAAAAACGCAATATAAAATTAAAGTAAATTAAACAAGATGTGGGGAGAACTGAAGATGAATAAAAAAAATCTCTATTTGCATACTTTAATTTCTTTGATGAATTACAAAAGACAACCGAAGTAAACATCATAGCAGCAGTTTCCTTTAATTATGAATTTCGTTTCATTATGTACGACAAATATTTACTCGAGTTGCTTCTTGCAATTGAATCAAAGGATATCTAATGTATTTACATCAAAAAAAACATTCTGCGCACCATCAATGTTAATCTCACTGTTTCATTTTCTTAATTTTATCAAACAATTTACTTCATTAATCGCGCGACTTTTTTTAGCATCGTTACTCGCGTTAGAGAAACTCCGTTAAATATAATGTTAGTAATTTATTTAAATAAATATATAATTGGAATGCATAAAATATATTACCTTTTAATCAGGTTTATTTTATAAAAATGTAAAAAAATATATCTTTAACTTAGTAGTGATGTTTATTTCTGATGGTTTGTCTTTCTGTGATTCCATTGCTAATTTTCGTAAAATTTCTGCATCCGGTTCATTTCCTGGATCATTTTAAAAAATGGTAAAGTAAAATATTATAAAACCAATACTCGCATGATGTCTGATAGACTCTGCTAAGAATATATTGCTGTTAATCCTTCACAACATTAGTTCAAAATGCAGTAATGTTCATTTATAAATCATCAATCAGTATGAAGAATGTACAAAAATATTTAAAGTTATGGTCTCACAAACGCCGTGCGAGTAACAAACTATTAAACAAGGTATAATGTATGATAGATAACTTTGGAAAATTATCTATAAATAACATAAACTTTTGTTATTTGTACACAGATCATATCTGTTAAAGTAATGTTATTTGTCTAATTACCAATAATGGTTTTTTATTTATTCAATTATAATTACATGAAACTGTTAATCATTTTTTTACATCAGAATTACATCTAATTTAAACAACGTTTTAAAATTTTGAAAAGAAATAATTTAATGTAAAAATAAGATTAGAAATAAGAAAATATCCGATTAATACCTTTGGATTCCGTTTCGAATAAACGTATTCAACTTTGGGGAAATAGCAAAAGTAAATGAGTCAGGTGAAAGCGTTTAAAAGCGGAAATTTGTAATGCAATTTTCTGTGTTTATACATTCGACGAAATGAGAAAATTGGATTTGTGTATATGCATGGAAAGTAAACAGCGATCAATATTCCGATGTTGCAATTATGGAAATCGTTATTTTTGCAATGTAATTAACTGGGTAAAACGGAGATTGCAGACAATGCGCGCCGTTTGGTAATCGTGTTGCCTTCTACTTTATTCCAGAGGATGCAGACAAATACGCAGCAAGTCGCTAATTAATAATTAAGAAAATAATAGCAATACTTTTTACGAAAGTTTTCATGCTGCAGTTTTTTTTTTCTATTCTTGTTGCAGGTTAAGCGGAGCATCATGCTGAAGATGGCGGATGCCTGTCAAGAGGTGACCAACAAGCAGAGCTTCCACGAGATGTACGTGCAAAGACACAACAACGTCTCCATCCTTTATGCAGACATCGTCAACTTTACGCCGTTATCCGAGCAACTTTCCGCCTCGGATCTCGTCAAAACTCTTAACGAACTCTTCGGCAGATTCGATCAAATTGCTCAGGTGAGTCAACAATTTAACTTTATTTTTTAACAATATCTTCCAAATCCGTGAGCTGGAAACCAGTATACTTCTAATGACAATAATAGCTTCCATTAAGAAGATAATCAGTATTAAAAAAAAATCAGATCTATAATTGTTTCGTTTTTTGTATACATTTCTCATTTGGGTTCATCTCTTCATACATGTCTTATATATAGTTTTCAGTTTTATTAATTATTTTTGACTTAATCATATTTAAGTTATTGAATACAAAATTCATATGTGAAAAATATTAATGAAAATTGACTAATTTTTAAATTTATTGCATGCGGACTATTCGAGTTATTTCAATTAGGTTCTAACTAACACATCTCAAGAGTTTCTAATTGCACCAATTATTTGTACTTTTAGTATGCAACCAAACAAAACATGTTATTTTCTTTATAATTCAATGCTTTCATACTAAATATTAATTAATTAAATCTAAATATTTTTTCAAAATTTTCTCGAAATGAATGTTATCTCAAGTAATTATAGTAAATATTGATTAATTCACATATTTACATTCTTCTTACTAGTGTCGCTCAGCAATGTGTAGAAAGAGAAAATATTTCGGGTCATCTGAAATAAAAAAAAAATATGAATGAATGATTGCGTTGTGTCTCCTATAAATTCTTGCAAAAATACCATCACGAAGGTCTCCAAATTTAATTTGGTCATTTTTCCGACAGTGAAACTCTCATCCAGCTGCGTGCGTTGAATCATAAAAGCCAAACACTTCCTAACCCTTGGATTTGTTTTGCAATACCAATTCACTTGATATACGGCGTTTCCTACGCTCTGAACCTGAAAAACTGCAAAATTAAGTACGCAATTTGTATATATAATTATCTAACCTGATCTTTGATTATTGCGGCCCAAATGCAGTAGTATAGCATTTGTATAAAGAATATGATTATTATAGAGCCGTATTGTATGATGTGTCCTAGATCTGGTGGAATTCTGAGGATTTATTTGCATATTGTTATTGGATTTTATATAAGCGATTTTTTTGTGATTACCCGTCGGCAGTTAGCATGTAAAATGCGACTATCTCAGTGGATGAGGTCAGGGAGAAGAATCCCAGCAACGGAAGCATGAAGACATGTCTAACTTCCTTTATAAATCTGAGAGCAAGAAGATTAACTTGTTATCACCTTTACTAATCCTTACCGTAAAATGAGATCGTGCTGAGATATTATCTCGCTTAGTTTAGCCAAAGCTTCCGATTCCGATGATCTCTCCAAATCCAATCTGCTCAAGCTAATTTTTATCATTTCCATGCCCACATAGCCATAAACAATGGCAGCTACGAAGAATCCATCAAAACATAAGTGTATAGGCATGAACTGGTAATAACAATAGATCAGCAAATAACCATAAAGCAGTTCGTAGCAAGGCGATGTCTCTAAATCGCAAATCGGGTAAATTTTAATCGGTAGCTCATTGAACTTATGCATGATGAGTGGTGAGAACATCGTTGAAATTGAAACTACGTACGCTGAAAACATAAATGTTACCACTGTGATGAATGCAACTTTATGGATTTTCAGCAAATTCCTCTCGTGCTCTGGAAATTTGTTCGGAGGCCAAAAATCCTTCAACAATGTCAAAGCGTATTTCAAGTTCTTTCTATAATAAGTAAAAGTCGCAGCTTTCAGACAACCCTACAAATTAATTTTAATAAGTTTTGAATGCTTTCATTTGGTTATAGTTATACCAAAATTCCAGCAGGTATCAAGTTTGCTTCGGAAATTGAGTTCACGTCCTCCCAATTCGATATGATTCCCAAAAAATACCAAATAACGTAAAAGGCCAACGAAAAAATACCGATCGCGTTTAGGATTTTGGTCTTCGAGTTGTACTTTAACGGATTCATGTAGTTCTTGTTCATGTAGACTAATAAGAACCTCATCAAGGGCTGGTATTCGGTTGCGCTCGACATCTTCCCATCAAACTACAATTGAAACGCGATCCGGTGCAGTTAAATACTTTATCGCAGATAATTGTCTCTAAACGTCGTTCGAAAACCTATTAAAAACTTTTGCGATGAAATATTCCACGCATGTGGCAAAATGATTGTCATGCAATTATTAACTTTAAACTTTCAGAAATTTGATAAACCTAATTGTTTTTTACTATCAAAACTTTTTTTCTATAAATAATACTTAATACCAGTCAAATACAACTGATTCCTCTTAATGTAATTTTTAGTAATTAAAATGTGTGTGTTGCTTTATGATCTGTATATTTGCAAATACAAGGTGTCATAAAAGAAGTGTTACTATTTTGTTTTATCGACAGTTTTATCTTGAGGTTATGTCAATTTTTATTTAATAATTGTGTAGTACCAAGCAATAATTTGATAAGTTAAATGCGCATTGCTTTGCTTTAATAAAAAAAACTATAAAAATCTCTCATCTTTGAGACAAACAATTAATGTAAAATATTTTTAGTACTGGAAAATTTAATTATTTAAATTGATTATTAGAATATACTTGAATCGTTTTTTGTATACATTTCTCATTTGGGTTCATTTCTTCATACATGTCTTTATAATATTAAAGTATAGTTAATCGGTTGATTATAACGAAATAGTTTCTAGTTTTATTAATTATTTTTCAGTTACTGCAACTTACTCTAAATGATCATAAATATAACAAAATGGTCAATATTAAATACACATTTGTGACTTAAGCAAACTTAAATTCTTTAATACTAAATCCATATGTGAAAAATATTATTGAAAACACACTAATTTCGAAATTTATTGCATGCGGACTATTCGAGTTATTTCTATTAGGTTCTAACTGACATATCTAAGAATTTCTAATAGCACCAATTATATTTACTTATTAATACTTTCATACTAAATATTAATTAATTAAATTTAAATATTTTTTTTTAACAAATGTTATTTCAAGTAATTATAGTAAATATTGATTAATTCACATAAATGATTGTCATGCAATTATAAACATTAAACTTGCAGAAATTGGATAAACCTATTTGTTTTTTGCTATCAAAACTTTTTTTTCTATAAGGAATATTTAAGTAATTAGTAATTAAATTGTGACTGCAATTTTTTGGTTTATTGATCCATATATTTGCAAATACAAGGTGTCATAAAAGAAGTGTTACTAAACTCTTGAAGTTTTGTCAATTTTCATTTGATAATTATGTAATACCAAGCAATAATTTTATTAGTTAATGGAAAATTATATTCTTTTGCTACAAATATGGTGATTTGCTGAAAGTTTACAATATGTAGCCAACTTTTAATGCATTTTCTTGGTTGTTTCACTTAAGAGAGTGTAGAAGGAGAAAACATTTCTAAACACCTAAAAACTTTATATCATTAGTCTTGAACTGTTTAAGTGCACACAACATACCATAACGAAAGTCTCCAAATTAAGTTTAGTCATATTTCCAAGTGTAAAGCTTTCATCCTTTTGCGAGCGTTGAATCATGAAAGATAAATTCTCTCGGACCTTCCCGTACGTCTTGCTGTGCCAATTAACATTGTACAAGGAATCAGCAACGGTTTGCATCTAAAATTATGTTGGTAGATTTATTATGTTGCTCTATTGAGAAAACTTACCTGATCTTTTACTATAGCTGCAGAAATGCAGTAATACAGCATTTGGGTTATGAAAATTGTGATCACAGAGCCATACTGAATGATGTGATCCATATCTGGAGGCATCCTGTTGAGTATTATGTAATTGGAATTTATTGGTTTTGATTATTATAAAATATTGTTTACCCATCGGCGGTGAGCATGAAGAATGCAACAGTTTCTGTAGCTCCGGTCAACAAGAAAAACCCTAATAAAGGAATGGTGAAGACGTACCTAATTTCTGTGAGAAAACTATAAACGTGGAATTTCAATTTGAAATATAGTAACTATAATGTTTTCAATCTACCGTAAAATCAGTTCGTGCTGTGCACTGATTTCGTTCAATTTGTTGATAGCTTCTTTTTGTTTTAAACGCTCCAAATCTATTTTACTCAAACTGATTTTGATCATTTCCATGCCCACGTAGATGTACGCAATTGTTGTCACGAAGAGACCATCAAAGTACAGATGCAACGGAATGAATTGGTAGTAACAGTATATCAGCAAATACGCGTAGAGCAGTTCGTAGCAAGGGGAAGTTTCTAAATCGCAGATGGGATGTATCTTTATGGGCAATTCGTTTGGGCCGTCCTCGAAAAACTTTGAAAACATAGCAGGAAGAGAGAAGACATATGCCATGACGAAAAATATGATCACAGTGACGTAAGCATAACGATGCATCCTCAGTAACTGCTTTTCGTGCTCCGGAAATCTGTCGGGCTTCCAAAAATCATTCAGTAAAATCAGAGCCTCCCTCAGATTCTTCTTATAGTAAACCAGAGCAAAACCCTTTAGTAAAACCTGAAATATAAGTTTGTTTTGTCGTTTTCTTTTTTTTTGATAAACAATAGGATTTTAGTTACCACTGTACCAGCTGGTATCAAATTCGCCTCTGGGATAGAGTTTATGTCGACCCATCTATTTGTGAAACCAATAATGTACCAAATAACGTAAAACAATAAACTGAAGACTGTGAAGATGTTCAACATTTTAATCACGAAATTATCCCTCATAGGATTCAGTAGATTCAAATCCAAGTATGCCAACATTAGTCTCAACAAAGGCCTATACTCGTGATTACTCATTTTCTATAAATATACAACAAAAATCTTGCATCAAGAACAATTATTTACAAATAATAATAAACTTTATGACTTGTAGTTCTTCAATTATCAGTAAACAATTAACCAGTTTTACCGGTAAATATGATTATTTAATTTACCGGTAAATTTTGATAAGAAATACGGGTAATTAAGTAATTTTTGACTCGGTAATAGAAAGTGATGTTGCACATGAAGATGTTTTACCAATTATAACTAAAATCCGACGAATGAGATCCTTCTCAAACACAATATATTTTCAA